CCTGGCCCGCCGGGCCGTGGTTGCCCCGCGCGCGCGGCCGATGGGGTGGGGATGAGCCACTGAGGCAGCCCATCTCTCTCGCTCTGGAATCGGGACACTTGGAGAGGGGGCGACCCTGCCCCTCTCCCCCCAAGGCCTCAGCCCACCCCCTGGAAGCGCCCGTGGGCCGCCGTGCCCAGGAGAGGGCGGCAGAGGCTGCGCGCGGGGCGGCAGGGCCACGCGGGACCCGGAGATTTTGCTGCAGGGGCTGGGGCGAGCCACGAAGCGGGAGGTGAGGTCTGCAGGGGTCCCTCAGGTCAGGGCAGCGCCTGTCGTCCTCGGGGACTGTAACACAAGCAAACAGGGCAAGGCTCTCCCGGGGTTCTAGGGCCTGTGACTCCAAAAAGGTAGGAGCCGCTGGTCTGATCTGACCCCACACGCATTCATGCCCAGTTTACAGACGAGGAAAACTGCGGCCGGAGATGGTGCAGCTTGCCCGAACTCCCTCGCCTGAGTCAGGGCTGGAACCAGCTCCTCAGCTCTTTGCCCTTCGCCATTCAGCATTTATGCACCCAATCTTGACTAAAACCTTCTGGCAGGTCTTGGGAAACGGAGAGAGACCTCATCTCTACAAAAAAAAAAAAAAAAAAATCAGAAAATTAGCCAGGCGTGGTAGCGTGCACTTGTAATCCCAGCTACTTGGGAGGCTGAGGCAGAAGGATAGCCCGAGCTTAAGGAAGTCAAGGCTGTGGTGAACTGTGATCCTGCCACTGCCTCCAGCCATGGTGACAGAAAGACCCTGGCTTGAACAAAAAAATTAAAAAAAAAAAGAGGGGACCAATCTGGGAAAAAATAAAGTTGGATTCACAGTTTACATCTTAGAAGAAATTCCAGCTGGACTCACGATTTAAATGTTAAAAAAAGAAAGAAAGAAAATAGCCTGGCTCAGTGGCTCAGCCTGTAATCCTGCCCCTTGGGAGGCTGAGGTGAGTGGATTGCCTGAGCCCGTGGGTTCGAGACCCGCCTGGAAGGTGAGACTTCATCTTTACAATAAATTAAAAAAATCAGCCAGGCATGGTAGCGCATGCCTGTAATTCCAGCTACTCGGAAGGTTGAGGTGGAAGGATCGCCGGAGCCCAGCAGGTCGAGGCTGCGGTGGCCGGGAGCATCTTTACCAGGCCACTGTACCCGACCCAACATTTACAATTTATGTCTTTTTATTTATTTATTTATGTGTTTGTTTATTTATTGAGTTAGGATCTCACTGTGTCGCCAAGGCTGAGTGCACAATCATAGCTCACTGCAGCCTTGATCTCCCTGGCTCAGGCAGTCATCTACCTCAGCTTCTCAAGTAGCTGGGACGACAGGCATAGGCCACTAGGCCTGGTTAATTTTTTTATTTTTGTAGAGATGAGATCTTGCTATGTTGCCCCGGCTGGTCTTGAACTCCTGGGCTCAAGCAGTCCTTCTGCCTTGGCCTTCCAAAGTGCTGAGAATACAGGCATCAGCCACTGTGCCTGGCCATATTTTTTATTTTATTTATTTACTTATTTATTTGAGACAGAGTTGTACTCTGCCACCCAGACTGGAGTGCATTGGTATGATCATAGCTCATTACAGCTTCAAACTTCTGAGCTCAAGTGATCCTCCCACTTCAGCCTCCCAAGTAGCTAGGACTACAGGCATGTGCCACCACACCTAGCTAATGTTTTAAAATTTTTGTAAACATAGGGTTGTACCATGTTGCCCAGACTGGTATAATTTACATCTCAAAGGCTATTTCCATTTATAGAAAAAAAAATTATGTGTCAGACACTAAAGACAGTGAAAAAATTGGCCTAAGACAGTACACAAATAAAAAAATAAATAACTCTTAAACATATGAAAAGATGCTTGAGCTCACTCAAAAGAAAAATAAATACAAATTAAAAATTCATGAAGAGACAATTTTCCACTTACCAGTTTGGCAAAGATAAAAAATCTGGTATGGCTGGGCATGGTGGCTCATGCCTGTAACCCCAGCACTTTGGGAGTCTGAGGCCAGAGGATTGCTTGAGCCCGAGAGTTCAAGACCAGCCTGGGCAACATAGTGAGACCTTGTCTCTACAATAAATCAAACAAGTTGCCAAGTTGTCAGGTGTGGTAGCGCATGCCTGCCTAGTTGGAAGGCTGAGGCGGAAGGATCGCTGGAGCCCAGTAGGTCAAGGCTGCAGTGGCTGGGAGCATGCCACTGCCCTCCAGCCTGGGCAACAGAGACTCCAACTCCAAAAAAAGAAAAAAGATACATATTTCTCCATACCAATTGTCCAATACAAATAGGCATTCAACAATTCAATTCCATCCTGTCACTAACTCCTGGTGTTAGCATGGAACACACAGGTTATGGATTCAGTTTCTCAGGCTGACCCCATTTCAGATGTCAGCCACGACTGGGGTGCCCAGGTGACCCACACTTCTGCCTGGCTGACTACAAATTCAGGGTTCCTCACAATCCCCCCTTGGGCTTGAGAATGCAGTAAAAGACTCACAAAACTGAGGAAAGTGTTTTACTTCCTATAATATTACAAGGCTTTACTCTGTTACCCAAGCTGGAGTGCAGTGGCACAGCTGTGGTTCACTGGAGCCTCAGACTCCTGGATACAAGCAATCCTCCTGCCTCAGCCTTCCATATCACTGCACTCAGCGTTTTTATTTTTATTTTTTTGAGTTGGAGTCTCACTGTCACCCAGACTGGAGTGCAGTGGCATGCTCACGGCCACCGCAGCCTCGACCTGGGCTCAGGCGATCCTTCCGCCTCAGCCTTCCAGGTAGTTGGACCCACAGGCATGCACCACCGTGCCCGGCTAATTTTTTTATTTATTGTAGATATGAGATCTTGCCAAGTTGCCCAGGCTGGTCTCAAACCCCCAGGCTCAGGACATCCTCTCGCCTCTGTCTCCTACATTCTGGCATTACAGGTGTGAGTCACTGTGCCTGGCTGCAAAAGACATTTCTATCACTCAGAAAATTCCAAGTGTTTTAGGAACTCTGTGTCAGGAACTGAATCTATATATAAAATTTTTTAAATCATACCACATTTGTTTATGTATATTTAGAGTCTTTCTCTACAAGGACATAAACTGTTGTTTCAGGGCAGGGAACCTGGCTAAAGTCAGGGGTAGGAGGGTGACTCCCAGTTTAAAATGCACATGTGAATAGATCACCTATTGGACAAACAAATTAAAAATATGTTTTAGTCCTTGCCTTGGCAATCTTCAGGTTTTCTTTTCTTTTCTTTTTGAGTTGGAGTCTTGCTCTGTCACGCAGGCTGGAGTGCAGTGGCATGCTCCCGGCCACTACAGCCTCGACCTCCTGGGCCCAGGCGATCCTTCTGCCTCAACCTTCCAAGTAGCTGGAAATACAGGTGCGTGCCACCACACCTGGCCAATTTTCTGATTTATTGTAGAGACAAGGTACCACCAAGTTGCTCAGGCTGGTCTCAAACCCGGGAGCTCAGGCAATCCTCTCACCTCGGCCTCCCAAAGGGCTGGGTTAGAGGTGTGAGCCACCATGCCCGGCAGCCTTCCTTATGTCTGTCCAGACTCCCTCAGCTGTCTCCATCTTTACCCCCCAAACACCCTCCTTGGGAGCCTTTCTGTAGATAGCGGTTCCCTCTACTGCAGCAGTCCCCAACTTTTGTGACATCAAGGACCAGTTTCGTGGAAGACAATTTTTCCATGTACCCAGCAGGGAGGGATGGTTTCGGGATGATTCAGGTGCATAACATTTATTGTGCACTTTATTTCTATGATTATTACATTGTAACATATAATGAAATAATTATACAACTCACCATAAAAATAAAAGAGATGCGGATGGAAGTAGTAAATAAAATAATAGGCAGGCCACACACAGAATAAAATAAGTGTTGGATTCTGACCTAAAGCCTGCCACCAGACGCAGCTGTGCAATTGAAATGCATCAACTCACTCGCCCCTCACCGATTGGGTGTTGATATGAGTCTGCAAGCAATTGATTTATGATGGTCTCTGTGCAGCCAAACCTGTACAGTTCGTCTGTATCTGCAGCCACTCCCCAGTGCTGGCATCACGGCCTCAGCTCCACCTCAGATTGTCAGGCATTGTTGTGAGCGAGTAAGGGAGAAGAAGCTACACCAGCAAGCTGAGTTTAATTAATTATGAATTTATTAGCACGTGGGTCAAGAGTAGGAACGAAAACTCTTGGCAAATGGGTCCAGTTTGTGACAAGCTTTTATAGGTAAAATTTACAGCATTGGCTACGTAGTAACTTAATGACCATAGCAACTATTAACTCACAACATGGCCACCAAAATGGGAACTTTGATTGTTAGGGAGCTTTGATTAATTTCATGTCCTAGGTATAACCAGTGCCCAGGAAATTCCTGGAGTTCTGCCATTAAGATATAGTTTAAGGTAGTTACATAGAGACAAGGAAGAAGAATCATTACACAATGGAGTTACCTTGGCTAGGTCACTCACAGAATATAATAACAAACTATGAAAATGTAACAATGGGGTTTTGCAAAGCATAACATTTTATTTCAGTTAACAAAGCATACAATCACATGGAACTTATGGCTAAGGAGTTTTGTAACAGTCAGCAGGAAACGGTCAGTACGACCTGCCCAAAGGAGACAAAACTGGGGCTCTGCGGTCATGGGAACATTACTATAATCACACGTGGGCATTGATTCTTAGGTCAGGTGGGTAACTAAGATGAAAGTTTTAAACAAAATGGAGTAAGCTGGTTAATATTATTATTTTGCTAGCAATTTGATTTTATTAACTGATTTAGCTTATTTCGGCATTAGATTCTCATAAGGAGCATGTATGTAACCTAGATTCCTCACTTGGGCAGTTCACAATAGGGTTCACGTTCCTATGAGAATCTAATGTTGCTAATCTGACAGGAGGCAGGGCTCAGGTGGTAATGCAAGCGATGGGGCGTTGCTGAAAATACAGATAAAGTTTCACACACTCACCTGACATTCATCTCCTTCTGTGTTCCCAGTTCCTAACAAGCCTAATGATACCAATCCATGGCCTGGGGGGTGTGGACCCCTGCTCTACTGGAATACTCAAGGCTCACATTGATTCAGGCCAACACTGTTCTTTTTTTTATTATTTATTTATTTATTTATTTATTTATTTATTTTTTTTTTTTTTTTGAGAGTTGAAGTCTCACTCTGTCGCCCAGGCTGGAGGGCAGTGGCACGCTCACGGCCACTGCAGCCTCGACCTGCTGGGCTCCGGAGATCCTTTCGCCTCAGCCTTCCAAGCAGCTGGAACTATAGGCACGGGCCATCACGCCTGGCCAATTTTTTTGATTTATTGTAGAGATGAGGTCTCACCAAGTTGACCAGGCTGGTCTCGAACCTGTGGGCTCAAGCAGTCCTCTCATCTCGGGCTCCCAAAGTGCTGGGATTACAGGCTTGAACCACCATGCCTGGCCGCCAACACTGTTCTAAACCCTTCCTTGAGGTTAACCCATTCAAATCTCACAACGCTTATTTTGTAATTTGTTTTACTTAACTTATTTTTGAGTCTGAGTCTCACTTTGTCGCCCAGGCTGGAGTGCAGTGGCACGATCATGGCTCACCGCAGCCTTGACTTCCTGAGCTTAGACGATCCTCCCGCCTCAGCCTCACAAGTTACTGAGACTACAGGTGTGTACCACCATACCCAGTTAATTTGAAAAAAAAAATTTTTTATAGGGATGAGGTCTTGCTGTGTTGCCCAGGCTAGTCTAAAATTCCTGACCTCAGGTGATCTTCCTGCCTCGGCCTCCCAAAGTACTGTGATTACAGGTGTGAGCCACCATGCCCGGCTGCCCAGTTGGTATAATACTCACTTTACAGATGAGACAGTGGGGGCACAGGGAGATTGCATTCCATGCCAAGGTCACTCAGGATTCTAGAACTTGAACTTAAACTATCTGACTCCAAAGGCCAAGCTCTGATCACTACTCCAGTCTATCTTCCCATGAATATCTAGGACCAGTTCAAATGTACTTCTTCTGGGAAACCTTCCTGACTCCTTTAACAAGAAATTTACTCTGGAACTCTCATTATGTCTTTTTTTTTTTTTTGAGTTGGGAGTCTCACTCTGTCACCCAGGCTGGAGTGCAGTGGCACGCTCACAGCCACCTCAGCCTTGACCTGTCGGGCTCAGGTGATCCTTCCGCCTCAGCCCCCTGAGTACCTAGAATTAGCACACTCCACCATCCATGGCTAATTTTTTTATTTACTGTAGGCACGAGGTCTCACCAAGTTGCCCTAGCTGGTCTTGATCCCCGAGGCTCAAGCAATCCTCTCACCTCAGCCTCCCAAAGTGCTGGGATGACACGTTTGAGCCATCACACCTGGCCTCACTGTCTTTTTTTGGGAAGAGAGGGTTGTATAATAATAATTACATTATATTTGATTGCAGCCCAGGGAAGGGATCAAGTTTTATTCCTAAATAGACCTAACCCCAAGGGCATTTCTAGACTGAATATAGAGTCATTTCCCATTTGAGTGCGTGTGGTTTCTTTTTTAAGTTGGAGTCTTACTCAAGCTGGAGTGCAGTGGCATGCTCACAGCCACCGCAGCCTCCTCCTGCTGGGCTTAGGTGATCCTTCCACCTCAGCCTTCCAAGTAGCTGGAACTACAGGCACATGCCACCACATCTGGCTAATTTTTAAATTTTTATTATAGAGACAAGGTCCCACCATGTTACGCAGACTGCTCTCGAACCCCTGGTCTCAGGCAATCCTCTCGCCTCGGCCTCCCAAAGTGCTGGGATGACAGGCTTGAGCTACCTCGCCCAGCCAGGCCCTCCTCTGAGGGATGCCTGTATGCCATCTCATTTAATCCCATTTTTTTTTTTTTTGAGTTGGAGTCTCACTCTGTTGCCGACTGGAGTGCAGTGGCCGCTCCCAGCCACCACAGCCTCGACCTGCTGGGCTCTGGCGATCCTTCTGCCTCAGCCTTCCAAGTAGCCGGAACTACAGGCGTGTGCTACCACACCTGGCTGATTTTTTGATTTATTGTAGAGATGAGGTCTCGCTGCCCAGGCGGGTCTCGAACCCGCAGGCTCAGGCAATCCACTCACCTCAGCTTCCCAAAGGCGCGGGATTACAGGCTGAGCCACCAAGCCCGGCATCCCATCTTCGCTGCATGGATCTCATGATCCATAGACAATTGATGCTAGAGAGCTGTTACAGAGCCTGTGCTGACACCCCCATTCCCCTCACCCCTAATCCCTTCCACCCTCCCCCTGCCCCAACCCCCATCAAAGAGACAGCCAGAACCTAAACACAACTGGTGTCTTGTGGACATGAATTTATTAGAGGGGGCCAGGGCCGAGTGAGTACAAGTTGCAGCGTGGAAAGAAGGAGCCAGCCTGAGGCCCACGAGATGCAAGGCCCGGGTGGGACGCAGCCGGTGAAGCATGGGCCGGCTGACCGCTATTCACAATGTCAGTGCCCAGGATGTGGTGGGGGTCTTGGGAAGACTGGGACTTAAAAAAAAAAAAAAGGGGAAAGTTGCTGAGGCCACACAGCCAAGGGGGCGGAGCTTGGGCCCCAGACCTCGTGCCCCTCCCTCCCATGCCATTGGTCCCCACTCTTGCCTCCCCCGAGCCCCCCAGCTCCTGCTCCCAACTCACTGCGGAAGGGGTAGATGCCTGACTCCAGCTGCATCTGGGGGGGCAAGAGGACGAGGAGGTCCCCGCCCCAGGGGCTTTTGGCCTCCGAGAGACAGTTTTGGGAGCCAGGGTGATGATACTCCCAGGTGACAGAACAGTCAGACAGCACAGGCTTAGGGCGGTGGTGGCTGGGGTGCTGGGACAAGCCACAGAGGGAACAGTGGGGTGGTGAGAGGCCGGGGCCCCGGGGAAGGCGGGCAGAGACCTGAGGACAGCCTCTCTGAACCCCGCCATGGTGGGCGCGCCGCTCCCGGGCCCAGGCCCAGTGGAAGGGTTCCTTTGCCATGACCTGGAAGGAGAGAGCGCGGTAAATCAGGGCAAGAGGCCTGGCCTCCCCTCTCCCCCAGAGGCCTGCCAGCCTCACCTCTTCACAGCACTGGCGACTCACGACGGCTCGGAAGCCCATGCGTGCCCACAGCAGGTCCCTCTGGTGCAGAAACCTCCCCACCCGTAAACACCAATCTTTCCCCAGGGCCCATGGAAAGATCTCGCATTTGGCCTCCTCCAGATCCTCCTCCATGTCGTTTGCAAGGTACCTGCCACAGACACGAGGTCAGGGAGCAGAGGTCACCGCGTTTGCCCTGCCTGTCCCCTGTCCCCTGCCACACACCTCCCGGCAGATGCCTCCAGGGCCCAGCCCCGCCACTCACAGTGCCAGGAACAGGTTGCTGTGGCTGTACTCGCTAAGTTTCAGGTTGGCACGCTGGAAGTAGACCAGCACCATGGCCAGGAGATACTGCAGAGACAGGCAAAGGGTGGAGGGAGTCAGCCTCTGGGGAGGTTTGTTCGCACCTAAGGAGATTTTGGTGCTGGGACGAAAAAGCCGGTAAGATGGTGGGGAGGGGCCCACAAAAATGAGTGGCTCCTCCCACAGACCAGGGAACCCCATAAAGCAGCAGGGTTCAATCCCCCCAGTGCAACCTTACCCTCAAGGGACCCCAGCCTCCACCCCCACTGCGCTCCTCACCTTATCTGAAATCCGGAAACAGGGGTCTTTGGAGAGGAATTCCTGGACAAAAGTGTCCTCTGGGGGCACACAAGGGAAACAGGGGACCCGAGCTGCCATCGCATCCCAGAGAAGAAGCTGCAAAGCCCCAAGATGCCACTGAACCCAAAGCTGGGTCGCTTGAGGGGGAGGAGGGCAGAGGCCTCGGGTGCCTGCATGGGTAGGGCGGAATCCCACCTTTCACATCTGCTTGCATATTGGGCCCCTCCCACACCAGCCCCCCAAACTCACCCAGAAGGTTGAGGAATGCCTGGAGCTCTTGGTGCTGGCGAAAATGGAGAAAGCCATGGCCCCCACCTGGCTGGCTGCAGCCCCCCAGCTTCACAGTGGTGGGGTCTTGGGCATCACTCATCTCATAGGTGGAGGTGGGGAGGGTTGGGACAGGGTGACCTGTAGAGAGAGGGGACTGGACTTAGCGCCTACAGTCTCGGCCATCACCAGTTGGGGCAGGGGTGGTGATGAAGCCAAGAGGGTACAGGGATGGGCGTGGAGACTCAGGGCCCCAAAACAGGGCAGAGGGCACGCGTGAGGGGTGGGCCACCAGAAAAGAGTTGCCGCTGAAGGCTGCTGCACCCCAGACCAGAATAACACCAGCATCAACAGCCACTAGTGAGGACTTCCTAAGTACCTGGAGCTGTGCTAAATGCTTTAAGGGTGTTACCTTATTCCATCCTAGAAGTAGGGACTTTCAACGAAAGACCCATTTTCTTTTTCTTTTGTTTTTGAGTTGGAGTCTCACTCTGTTGCCCAGACTGAGTGCAGTGGCACACTCACGGCCACCGCAGCCTCCACCTGCTGGGCTCCGGTGATCCTTCCGCCTCAGCCTTCCGATTAGCTGGAACTACAGGCGCGCGCTACCACGCCTGGCTGATTTTTTAATTTATTGTAGCAATGAGGTCTCGCCAAGTTTCCCAGGCGGGTCTCGAACCCGCGGGCTCAGGTAATCCACTCACCTCGGCCTCCCAAAGTGCTGGGATTACAGGCTGAGCCACCGAGCCCGGCCAAAAGACTCATTTTCAAACAAGGAAACTGGAGGACTGAGGCCTCATTCCAAAACCCCAAGATTTTTACTTTTTGTAGAGACAAAGTTTCGCCGTGTTGCCCAGGCTGGTCTCGAACTCTGGTCTCAAATGGTCCTCCTGCCCTGGCCTCCCAAAGTGCTGAGATTACAGGCATAAGCCACCACGCCTGGCCTAAAACTCCAAGACTTGAATTGCTTCTCCTCCGGCACCCCCACTCCGCACCAAAACAGAGAGCTGAAAGGCCACCAACCCCCTACACCGAGAGGAAAGTGAGGCTCACAGAGAGGAATGAAATCCGACAAACACTTGGATTTAGAGCAAGCTGAAGGGAGGCCACTTCACACACTTCCAGGTACCTTCCTAGACCCACCCTCATCCCCAGAGAGATGCCAACCAAGGGGCTCAGGAGAAGGCGCGGTCCGCCACTCCGGGACCAACCTGGGCGCCTGCATCCAGGCTCCCACAAGCAGCCCAGCGTCCTCCTGCAAGAAGCCTTACCTGAGCTCCGGACGACCTACGTATGGCATGACAGCGAGCTTGGTGCCAGTGCTCTTATATAGCCAAGGGAAATGCCCGCCCTGTACAACTTCCACCAATCAGGCTCTTTCTGGGAGGGGGCGGGGCTTGGTCTTTCGTTATCTGTGAACCCAGGCACCACCCAGCTGCGGCTCCCGGGGTAAAAGTTACTCCAGGGCTTTTGAGTTGGAGTCTCACTCTGTCGACCAGACTCCGGGTGGTGTGCTCCGGGCCACCGCAGCCTCGCCCTGCTGGGCTCTGGCGATCTTTCTGCCTCTGCCTTCCAAGTAGCCAGAACTACAGGCGTGAGCCACCACACCTGGCTAATTTTCGATTTATTGTAGGTCTTGCCAAGTTGCCCAGGCGGGTCTCGAGCCTGCGGGCTCAGGAAATCCACTCCCTTCGGCCTCCCAAAGTGCTGGTATTACAGGCTGAGCCACTGAGCCCGGCCTCTCCAGGGCTTTATCATGTGTAAGGTGGTGAAGGCAAAACAGCTGGACCCCAGGGCCTGGAACTCCACAGAACCAGCAGGGAGCTAGGACCCGGATTCCCCTCCTAACAAGGTGGGAAGGTGCGAAATGAGGCCTGGTGTTTTAATTCACTTGGTAGGGCAAGGCTTCTTGGTCTCTCTGGGTCTCCTGCCTCTTGATGGGTCTTTTCAGAGTTGCTTATCTTTTTTTCGAGTCGGAGTCTCACTCCTTGCCCAGGTTGGAGTGCAGTGGCATGCTCATGGCCACCCCAGCCTCCATTAACCTTCCAAGTGGCCGAAACTACAGGCGCATGCCACCACGCCCGGCTAGTTTTTGATTTATTGTGATGAGGTCTCGCCAAGTTGCCCGAACTGGTCTTGAACCCATGGGCTCAGGCAATCCACTCACCTCGGTCTCCCAAAGTGCTGGGATGACAGGCTCGAGTCTCTTGATGTCTCTCCTGTCTGGATATCTTGGATCTCTGTGTCTCTCTGAGTCTTGAGGTCTACGCCAGTCCACATCCCATGCTTGCTGTGGTTGGCAAGGTCTTCCCTGACCCTATCAGGCCCCTGTGTGTGCGCGCACAAGTGCAAGCACGCGTGTAGTTTTCCGCCTGTGTTTTTTTGTTGGCCTCCCCAAGAGAGGAAAAGGTGAATCCAGCGGCCTCCGTAGCCAGCTTCCTAAACATTTACTGGTGCTTAATGAAGGGGCTAGAAGCAAACCAGCTCACGTGTTTCTCACGCAACCCTGTGAAATGGGTACAACTAGCAACCTCGTTTTATAAGTTTACAACATAGACTTGGGATTGTTCCAACAGAAGCCAAATAATTTCCTGCCAGCCACACAACTGGTAGATGGGGGGTTCCAGCCAGGCTCCCCGACCCCACACCCAGGCCCCACTGTGGTTGGACAAAATCTGCTGGGAGGTTTTCAGTGAAACTGAGTAAATTCCCCAAACCAGCCGTGTTTTTAACCTCGCTCAGGTAGGCAAATCGCCTTAACCCTGGGGGCGAGGGTTCCTGGCCCACATCCATCAGTAACATCCTGGGAGATCTGATACTCTCCATACTGGGGAGAATATATATATATATATATATTTTTTTTTTTTTTTTTTTTGGAAAGAATTTAGGCCAGGCGAGTTGGCTCACACCTGTAATCGCAGCACTTTGGGAGGTCAAAGCCAGAGAATGGCGTGAGACCAGTAGTGGACAAAATAGTGAGACCGTGTTCACCAAAAAAAGCAAAATTAAAAAATTAGGCGGGCATGGTGAGAGGTACTTGAGAGGCTCCTCCCAGCTACTCTAGAGGCTGAGGCGGAAGGATCGCCTGAGCCCAGGAGGTCAAGGCTGTGGTGAACTGTGATCGCGCCGCTGCACTCCAACCTGGGCAAGAGAGTGACACTCAAAAAAGAAACAAGAAAAAGAAAGATGAGAGGTGTGTGTGGGGGTGAGGGGGTGTCAGGGAGAGAGAGAGAAAGAGAAAGAAAGGGTTGATTTAGGATTTAGACTCACATAGATGTTGTTTTAAAAATATAGAAAATTGGCCGGGCATGGTGGCTCAAGTCTGTAATCCCAACACTTTGGAAGGCCGAGGTGAGAGGATTGCCTGAGCCCCAAGGGTTTGAGACCAGCCTGTGCAACTTGACAAGACCTTGTCCCTACAAAAAAAAAATTAGCCGGGCATGGTGGTGTGCATCTGTGGTTCCAGCTACTTGACTGAAGCAGAAGGATCACCTGAGCCCAGCAGGTAGAGGCTGCGGTGGCTGTGAGTATGCCATTGCACTCCATCCTGGGCAACAGAGTGAGACTCGAACTCAAAAAGAAAAAAGTATGGAAAATTTTCACATCTCGTTCCCTGGGCAACCCCCAATGTAAACATCTTTTTTTTTTGAGTCAGAGTCTCACTCTGTCACTCAGGCTGGAGTGCAGTGGCTCATGGCCACTGCAGCCTCGACCTCCTGGGCTCAGAGGATCCTTTTGCCTCAGTCTTTCAAGTAGCTGGAACTACAGGCACGCGCCACCACACCCAGCTAATTTTTTGATTTATTGTAGCAATGAGGTCTTGCCAAGTTGCCCAGGCTGGTCTTGAACCCGTAAGCTCAGGCAATCCTCTCACCTCGGCCTCCCAAAAGGCTGGGATTTTAGGTGTGAGCCACCATGCCTCGCCCAATAAAATTTTTTTTTTTTTTTTTTTTTGAGTTGGAGTCTCACTCAGTCGCCCAGACTGGAGTGCAGTGGCCGCTCCCGGCCATCGCAGCCTCAACCTGCTGGGCTCCGGTGATCCTTCCGCCTCAGCCTTCCAAGTAGCCAGAATTACAGGCATGCGCTACCACGACCGGCTGATTTTTTGATTTATTGTAGAAATGAGGTCTTGCTGCCCAGGTAGGACTTGAACCTGCGGGCTCAGGCAATCCACTCACCTCAGTCTCCCAAAGGCGTGGGATTACAGGCTGAGCCACCGAGCCCGGCTATAAAAATATTTTTAAAAAGAAGTCTTATTATGTATATACACTAACAATATTATATAATTTATGTGTGGCCTAAAACAATTCCTCTTTACTTGATGCAAACCAGGGAAGCCAAAAGATTGGACAACCCAATATAAAACATCCCATCAGATAACAAACTCCTCTATGCTATCTCTTTATGTCACATCCCCCTCCCCATCCTGGCCCCTGGCAACTATTAATCTGTTCTTCATGTCTGTAATCCTGTCATTTCAGGAACATTATATGAATGGATTCATGATACCTCAATGCCCCCTTATCTGCAGTTTTGCTTCACAGGGTTTCAGTGACCCAAGGTACAGTATAAGATATTTTGAGAGAGAGAAAGAGAGAAAAACCACATTCATATAACTTTTATCACAGCATATACTTATAATTGCTCTATTTTATTAGCTGTTGTTAATCTCTTACTGTACCTAATTTATAAATTAAACTTTATCATAGGTATGTATAAGAAAAAAAAGCATAGTATACTAGGGGGATCCCCAAAAAACAGAATTTATTTATAAAATTGGCCGGGCATGGTGGCTCACGCCTATAACCCCAGCACTTTGGGAGGCTGAGGCGAGAGCATTGCCTGAACTCAGTGGTTCGAGACCAGTCCAGGCAACTTGGAGAAATAAACCAAAAAACTAGCCAGGTGGGGTAGTTTAAAAAAAAAATTGTGTATTTATTCTTTTTTTTTTTT